ATTATATTCTGATTCAAAGTGTATATAACCTTGAGGTTGGCATTATGGCACAGTAGGTTAATTCTCCACCTGCAGCACCTGCATCGCATATGGGCACAAGTTCTAATCCTGGCTGCTCTTCTTCCAATCCAGCTCTCTGCTATGGCCTGGGAGGGCAGTGGAAGAAGGCCTAAGCACCCATGTGCAAGACATAGCAGAGGATCCTGGTTCCTGGCTTCAGACTGGCCAATCTTCAGCCATTACGGCCATTTGAGGAGTGAACCAGCTAATAGATCTTCTGTCTCTCTCTTTTACTGTCTGTAACTCTACCTCTCAAATAAATACAATCTAAAAAAGAAGCATATATAACCTTACGGAAAATTTTATCAAAGCCTTGCAAAGTATTTTTAGGCATTTAATACCTGAAAAGTTTTGAAGACTACAAGTAAGTTTTCAAAAGATCATCACACTGTTCAAACACTGGTTCAGGATAGTGAATATGGTAGTAAGAGTGAATTCCACAAAAAATGGGCCATTTCAGTCAGTTTGGCATTATCCAGTTTAATGTTCTTTCCACCATTATTCTGCACCCTTAATTCCATTCTCCCATGTTTCTGCCTTTAAAAATTGTTAAAAAATTTCCTTGAGAGTATTACACATTTCCTCATGGGTTAACCATTGAACACCATCTTTAGAGGCCTACAATGACTTATTTATACTTTTATATCTAGAAGTCAAAAGATAAATAAAGAGTTGATAAAAGAGTTATCTTTTATCAAAAGATAAAGAAAGAGTCCTAACACACTCTGAGGCAGGAGTCCCTCTTGGGGGAATTCAAAGGCCTTCAACTGATCAAATGAGCTTCCTCACCTTAAGCTTGCTTGTCTTAAGAGGAACACTTTGGTTTCCTCAGAGGGTACTTATTTAAATATTCATCTCAATTTAAAACAAGTCAACCCAAGACCAGTGCTTGACCAAATAGGCAAGGTGATGCATAACAGTAGCCATTGCCACAGTCAGCTGTCATCCTCGCCCACTTCCATATCCTATCCTCTTGGCTTTTTTCCACAGCCCACACACACACACACACAGTTCTAAAAATATTCTGAGGCTAAAAACTTGATTATCAGTTACTACACAGAGGATTCAACTTGACAAACCTAAGCCAGAATCTCAAACAATTGTTTTCTTCAAGTCCTGAAACATAAACCACTGGACAGATATCACAAGAAAAAGAGCGAATGACTTTACATTTTTTCTGGCTTGTCATAGGCAATTGAAGAAAGCTAGTGACATAACAAAGCATGTGTTTGTTCTTCCAATTTTTTGCCTATATCATAAACTTCTAAAATTTGCGCTTCTATCTCAGATTCATGTAATTTCACTTAATGTTCATAGGAACATTATGGTTGGCTACTATTTCTCTTTCAGAGCTACAGAGACCAAGCTTTGAATAGGTTAAGGAACTAGTTCAACTGCACAAGCATCATGGAGCCAGATGTCCCAGTGAGAATTTCCAAGTCTTTTTCTGGATCTCGTGTTCTGTTCACCTGTGTCTAGTCTGAAATTAAAATTGCTGAAGTTTAATTTTAGTTAATGTATTCTTACTTCTTAGATAATAATTAGAGAGCTTGAAATCTGACATGCTTCAGTTTTTATGCCTTAGCTTTATTTCTTAAAACTTATCAAAACACTTGATATTAAAATCAAATCACAGGATTATTTAACAATATTGTGGGGTATTCTTATTTTAATAGTTAATAATGATAGCATTACCTCATGTGTTTGCTATTTTAATGTGAAATATTAAATATCATTTTAGTGTGAAAAGGAGCATTCTATTTTTTTCAAAACAAATGCTTTGAATTATTTAACTTCCTATGGAAATTTATCATAAAAAAGTGTTTTTTTGTGTGTTGTTAGGTGCCTGTAATCACTATAGATCCATGGATACTTTCAGAACAATGTTTATTTTTTGCTTTTACTCTATTATTAGGGTCACATTTACAGAAAGAATTGTCTCCTGAAAAGGTTATGAGGCAGCTGTTGGTAGTTTTCTATCCGGAGTAATTTTCACTGTCTTGCTATGTGGGAAATAAACTAAAGACCTGATTATTTGTTTCCTTCATATTAGCATTTTTTGATTATCACCAGCAGAAGAGTCAGTGTAGCTACCTGATAATAACAAAAATAAGCATTCCTTCATTAATATGATATCTAATATATTCTAGTTTTCCTTATTTTCAAATTCAGTACTATATTGGCAATGTCTAGCTTTGTTTATTTATTTGAGGGTCAGGGATAGACCGCCCACTTCTACCAGCTGCTTTGTTCCCCCAGTGCCTATAACAGCTTAGGCAAGACTGAGGCCGAAGTCAAAAACTTCAAATACAACACAACGTGTGTATTACATGTGGGTAGCAGGAACACACATATTTTAGAAACTCACATATTTCAGCCATCACCACTGCTTCCCCAGGTCTGCATTAGGATGGAGTCAAGAATGGTACCTGGAAATATCTAGTATTTTTTAATTATTGTAGCCTGTAAATGTTCTTGTTTTGAATTTACATCGCTGGTGGTTTTCTATTCTGAGCATGAAAGATATTCTTTGAGTGTTTTGAGTGAAATACATGAGTGTGGGAGTGTGTGCATGTGTGGTATGTTTGTATGTCTGTTTACATTAGTAGCTATTCTTAATGTTAATTCCCTCAAATTCTAGAAAACATTGAGTACAGTTTCAAACATGTGGTTCAGATAAAATGTAATGTGTGAAAGTACTCTGAAGAGCTAGAAAGTTAAGAGATATTAGTTACTCAAAATACTTGCTGGAGGGGCCAGTGCTGTGGCCCAGTGGGTTAAAGCCCTGGCCTGCAATGCTGGCAGTCTGTGTGGGAGCCAGTTCCAGTCCCGATTGCTCCACTTCCCATCCAGCTCTCTGCTATGGCCTGGGAAAGCAGTGAAGGATGGCCTAAGTGCCTGACCCCTACAACACCGGGAAGACCTGGAAGAAGCACCTGGCTCCTGGCTTCAGACTGGCCCAGCTTCAGTCATTGCAGCCTTTTGAGGAGTGAACCAGTGGATGGAAGACCTCTCTTCCTGTCTCTACCTCTCTCTGTAACTTTGTGTTTCAAATAAATAAAAGTAAATCCATAGATCAGTAATAACAAAACAAAAAAACCTCATGGAGATCAGGAGTTAGAATTGAAAGTTTGTTGAAAAGTGGAGTTGGAGGCCAGGGTGAGGCAAGAGGGAACTTTCCCTGGTGTCTCCTTGAGCTTCACAGTTGGGTGCTTGTTCGAGTAGTGACTGTCTCCACTTCTACCAGGAAGAACAGTGAGGTCAAGATTTTACAATTTGTGAGGCTTAGGGTTCTAGACCCAGATACTGTATTTTGTTTAACTTTAGTTGTTCTAACGTCATGGGCTTCCTTTATGTTTTCCTACTTTTTGCCCTTGTCTGTGCAGAGAGGAGAGCGTGTGCAATGTTGGAGGCTGTGAGTCTGTCAGCCTGATCAGAGATGCCAGCTGCTGGGTAAGGGTGAGCAAGGAATTGAAAGTATATGCAAAGACAGGGAGTCTTGGCGCTTGGTTTGAGCGCTGGTTCTACTACTGATTCCAGTTCCTTGTTAATGAGCATTTTGAGAGGCAGCAAGTGATGGCTCATGTAACAGGTTTCTGGCCACCTGTGTGGAGGAGCTGGATTGAGTTTATGGCTGCTGGTTTTGATCAGGGCCAGCCCTCACCATTCTGACCATCAGCAAAATGAACCTGTAGCTGAATGCTTCTCTCTCTCTCTCTCTCTCTCTCTCTCCCCCCAACCCCATCTCTCTCTCCCCGGTCTCTTTCTCTGTCTCTACCTTTCAGATGAATTTTTTTTAAAAAAATTAGTATTTTGATGCAAAATTGTTTGACATCTCTGACCTTTTCATAATACACCTTCTCCATTATCTTTTTGAGGACTGCTTTAAGCATAGATTTGTATGTAGATATAGATGTCTTTCGTCTTTTTTAAAAAAGATTTATTTATTTGTTTTGAAAGTCAAAGTAACAGAAAGAGAGAGAGAGAGAGAGCTCTTCCGTTAGCTTGGTCACTCCCCAGATGGCCTAACAGCCAGCACTGGGCCAGGCGCCGGGTCTCCCACACAGATGGCAGGGACCCAAACACTTGTGTCAACTTCTGATGCTTTCCCAGGCCATTAGCAAGGAGGTGTATTAGGAGTGGAGTAGCCGGGATACGGACTGGCATCCACAGGAGTGCTGGCATCGCAGGCAGCAGCTTTACTTGCTATGCCACACCACTGCCCCTTTATCTTCAGTCTTACACTAAAACTACCAACATCATTTGTTTCTCATTTCCACTTTCCAATTTTTGTGGTTTCTATCTTACATTACATTATGAATATACCATGACTTTACTACTAAATTGTTTCTGAAATTAGGCTGTTTAATTTTCTGAACTATTGATAATGGCAACATAAACACATTTTTATCAGATTTTCTAATACTGAATCACAAAATCATTGGCATATAAAAATGTAGCTAAGATACATGGACAACAAAATATTTAGAGATGTCAGATAGAAAAGAGATGATTATGATGGTGATAATGATAGCTTTTTCTTAGTTTTTTGAAGTATTTACTTTTCATTAGCAGTTAAATTTGCAATGTTTTCATAATTTGTTATTCTAAATGTGGTAAATAAAATTTGTAATATGCCCCCTAAATAAAGGCAAACTATTTTTCCACTCACAACATTACTGAAGCCAAATGTGTGAAATTTTTTTCCAACTCTTTGAACCATAATCAGATTTTGTGAAATTTAACTCAGTTCTCACATTAACTACCCAAGTTAGTGTCAGACTACAGAGTGTTAAGAACTCAGTCCCACAAATGTTTCCTTAGACAGCAATCAGCCGTACACCTAGTTATTCATGGCTTTCTCTGACTTTCTGAAGCCGCCCTAAATTCCACCCCCTGTCTTTGTGAATAAATCTCATAGAACTCAAGGCATTGCTTTACATATTTTCATATTTTTCTCAGTACAGAACACAATGAACAGCAAGTTGAGATGCAGCTTAGGGCAACAACCAGAAGAATCCCAAGTGTGGTCACGTCTGTCTCAGCGGGGTTGAGGTCTTCCTATAAACCCATGACTTCACTCACTCAGCCGGAAACTCTGCAATCTCCATAGGTTAGGAATTTTATAAAGGCTCCAAAATGGTCATCAGCTATGGACTCGGGCTGCAGGCAGTATCTCCTCCTGGAAGAGTGGGAGACAGAGATGGAAGGTTATAGAATTCTGACTTGGTCTTTCTGGTGAGTCGTCTCCACCCTGAAGCTATCCAGGGGCCCACCAATAAAACTCATTAGAACAAAATATGCTCTTATCACCTGCATCACTTAGAAAAGTACAAGGTTTTTGGTAGCTGTATGTAGGGAACTCAGGGTACAGTCTTCCCCAGTGACTGTCCACTTGACCCTAGAATCCATGAAGACAACACTGTATCATTCTCATGGTTGTGCCACGTGATCCAGTCACACAAGCCCTTTAACAGCACAGTGCTTTCTCTGATGCAGAAATCAAAGCCATTTTGGTATGAGCAGGACTGGGCACTTCATTGCTTAGAAGACAGAGAGGACCTATGAGAAGGAATGTGGGCAACCTCTAGGAACAATAGACACAGCCCTGCTATCAAATAAACTGGATTTGACCAACATGCTGAAATAAACTGGGAGAGAATTCTTCACCAGAGACTCCAGAAAGGATGCAGCTTGGTCAAGACCTTGGTTTTGACCTATGAGAAGCTGACAAAGAATCTAGTTATCTTTTCAATTGTGATGCACAGAAACTGAGACAATATGTGCTGTTTTAAGGGCACATTTGTAGTAATTTTTTTTTTTTTGACAGGCAGAGTGGACAGTGAGAGAGAGAGACAGAGAGAAAGGTCTTCCTTTGCCGTTGGTTCACCCTCCAATGGCCGCTGTGGCCGGTGTGCTGCGGCTGGCTCACTGCGCTGATCCGATGGCAGGATCCAGGTACTTATCCTGGTCTCCCATGGGGTGCAGGGCCCAAGTACTTGGGCCATCCTCCACTGCACTCCCTGGCCACAGCAGAGAGCTGGCCTGGAAGAGGGGCAACCGGGACAGAATCCGGCGCCCTGACCAGGACTAGAACCCGGTGTGCCAGTGCCGCAAGGCGGAGGATTAGCCTAGTGAGCCCACGCTGGCCAGTAATTTGTTTTGAAGCAGCCACATTTTTTTCTCAGTAATGTAGTTTTTTTTTTTTTTTTTTTCATTAAAGAAAGTCCTCGGATTATGCAAGGGTCAGAGTGCAAAAACCATGAAATTATCCTTGTTTTGAAAGGATAACAAAGAAAAATGCCTTGATCCCAAAGGAGGGCCGCCTGGAGAAGGTGACTTCTGTGTAAGTGTTGATGTAAAAATAGCTGTTCTGCTGATAGCTGTGGGAGTGCAGCACTCAAGGAGGCGACAGACTTCAGGAAAGGGGCTCTCCAGGCACAGAACAGAGCAGTGTGTGGGAGAAAGCTTACCACTCAGGCTCCAGACAATTTCTGTCCTAATTCACATGTGACCAGCTTTTCTCTCTCAATTTCTGAAACAAATGAAATATGTTATATGCTCTTCATTGCTTTTTTTCTTAATATGTAGTAGATTAGACAATTTCTTTGTCTGCTAGAGCTGCCATAAACAAATGCCACGGGATAGGTCACTTCAATAGCAAGTTCTTTCTTTCCTTTCTTTTTTTTTCCCCTTCTCTTTTTTTTTTTTTAATTTTATTTAATGAATATAAATTTCCAAAGTACAGCTTATGGATTACAGTGGCTTCCCCCCCATAATGTCCCTCCAACCCGCAACCCTCCCCTTATCCATTCCCTCTCCCCTTCCATTCACATCATGATTCATTTTCAATTCTCTTTATATACAGAAGATCAGTTTAGCATACATTAAGTAAAGATGTCAACAGTTTGCTCCCACACAGAAGCATCAAGTGAAAAATATTGTTTGAGTACTAGTTATAGCATTAAATCTCAATGTACAGCACACTAAGGACAAAGATCCTACATGAGGAGTAAGTGCACAGTGACTCCTGTTGTTGACTTAACAAATTGACACTCTTGTTTATGGCCTCAGTAATCACCCTAGGCTCTTGTCATGAGCTGCCAAGGCTATGGAAACCCCCTGAGTTCACTGACTCTGATCATATTTAGACAAGGCCATGGTCAAAGTGGAAGTTCTCTCCTCCCTTCAGAGAAAGGTACCTCCTTTGATGACCCATTCTTTCCACTGGGATCTCACTCGCGGAGATCTTTTATTTAGGTGTTGTTTTTTTTTCCCCCAGAGTGTCTTGGCTTTCCATGCCTAAAATACTCTCATGGACATTTCAGCCAGATCTGCATGCTTTAAGGGCTGATTCTGTGGCCAGAGTGCTGTTTAGGATATCTGCCATTCTATGGGTCTGCTGTGTATCTCACTTCCCATGTTGGATCGTTCTCTCCTTTTTTTTATTCTATCAGCTAGTGTTTGCAGACACTATTCTTGTTTATGTGATCCTTTTAATTCTTAATCCTATCATTATGATCAATTGTGAACAGAAATTGATCACTGGGACTAGTGAGATGGCATTGGTACACGCCACCTTGATGGGATTGAATTGGAATCCCCTGGTATTTTTCTAGAGGCTGGAGGTCTAATATCTCAATGCCCATGTTGCTGGGTGAGGGTGAAGCCTCTCCACCTGCCTTCAGAAGCTGCCTTCTCTCTGTGAATGTGTGTGGTCTTGCCTCAGCTCTTGAGTGTGGAGAGACAGAGAGATCTCTCTTTCCCTTATAAAATCACCAATTCCATCAGATTAAGATCCCATCCTATGATTCACTGACCATAATTACATCTTGACAGCCCTGTCAGGGAATCCGTATATCAATTTGGAGAAACAAATTTAATCCATAATACAGAAACAGACAGAAGAAGCACAGATTATCAGAAATTTCAAGAAACATTCTCAACTCTTTTGAGAAACAAAGACATCAGGAATCACCGATACATGACTGTTGTCCTTTTTCTAGGAAATTGAGAAATAGGAAGTGCTTGATTCCTCCCAATTCTGGCCAGAATGCTACTAAAGAAATTCCCTAGTGACTTCCTCCCTCCTTTGTCCTCAAGAAGGTCCCTGCTACGCATGTTACATAATCACTCCCATATCCCAGGAAGGACGACCCAAAGACACGTAATTTAATTTGGCCTAGGGTAACGATGTGCTGCAACCCCCAGCATCCCTCCCTTGGCACAGAAACCCACACACACACACACAGCCTCGCAACCACATTCCAAGTCATATTGGTATTGGGATTTTCATGACACAATTTAAAGGCTGTTTTCCAGAAATTTCACTCCATCTGCCCATTCCCACCATCTCTTATGCCAGCTAACATCTAATTATATGATCCTGAACTGTATCACATTTCTGATATCTAATGATATCTGACTTACTAAAAAGCAAAATTGTAGTGAGCTCAACCTAATACCCAAGATTATATAGAATGTGGTTGACACAGATATATTGGAAATAATTTAATACAAATATTTTTAAAAATACTGGATGTCAATATTTACTCTTCCTGAGCTTAACAGTTTCTGGCACAAACATATGATTACTTGACTTTCTAATTCCCACTTCACAGCTGCTAGCTTTCCCATGAGGAGCCTGTGTCCAGTCACGTTCATCAACTTTCTGATGGTTATAATAACTTTCACTGTGTTTTTTCTACATCATCTCTTATCTTCCCCTACTCTGTCTCAGTCATCTTTATATAATTATTTCCAGGCCTATCATTTTCATGCTCCAACATTTTAGAAGTCTTCTGGTCTATTGCATGAAGTCTAATCAGTTTATCACGTGTTCCATATCCCTCAAAATGTGGCTTGACTGATACTTTTCTCCTCATCTCTACTCTTATCTCAATCATTTATTCCTCTCTTCTCATGCTCCACCTCTCTTCATGATATTGCTACAGATAACTGGATAAAACAGATAAAGTCATACTTTATTAAAATGGAACAACCAATCCTTAGGTTCTACTTTTTTTCAAATAGACTTTACTGGGTTTGGAATAACTACTCCATTCTTCTCAATTAATAAAAGACCGTCTTCCACTATTTAGCTCAGTATCACATCCTCTCTGTTTCCCCCAAAGGAACATCTTCTATTGCTATCACAATCAAAAGAAAGAACATCTCTGATGTCTGTCTTTGTAACTCTTACACTTCCCACTTACCTCAATGTGTTACAGTTGTTGCAGAATAATCTAATCCTCTGCTGAATTGTGATGCTTAGTGCAGAACTACTGTTCCAAAATACTAAACAAAGAAATGGCCTTGAAGTAATCTCTTCATAAATAGATAAGCCAATTCATCACATTAATTTAAAATTGATATTAAGTATGTAGTATCTAAGTTTTCACTTCATCATGAAAATTCTGGATATCAGCAATGGAATGACTTCAGTCTCATGACTTCTCATTGGGATTTTAATTTTTTTGACTCCATGAATTTGCTATTTAGGGACTTGTTTGGAGGCCCAGCAAAAACTGTGGCACCTAAGTTTGACTTTGCTTGTGAGCCCTCTCTTCATGGAGTCACTGCAGGATTAAAAACTGGTAAGGAACTTGAAAACAAACTTGAATTTTTGGGTGGACTTGATGGAATCTTCCCTCCTACAGATTTCAGATCATACAGAAACCTCACACAGGGAATTGTATGCAGTTATACTTGGTAACATGAGTCTTTGTACTTAAACTGCAGCACAAATTTCCTTTCAAGCTTGGCTTAAATTCTTCTTGCTAAAATTCTTACTCATCCCTTCAGTTAACAGAAAAGGCTGCTGCTCATTGTTCCATGAGCAATATTTCTTTTCCTTAAAGATTAGATCACCATTCAACCTTTTCCCTTTCAATGAGCCTCAATCTTCTCTCTCCCACTGGGCAAATTCCTTGAGTTTTCATCACTGTTCGTCTGTACTATCTTCCTCAAATACTCAGAACCTTCTTGCTTTATGCCAGTGCCTCTGCTTTATCTAAAAGTTGACCTCAGTCTGTCCTGGCACTGAGAGCCATCAAATATGCAAGAGTCTATTTTCCTGCACAAGTTTCCATATAGTAGCAAAAAGAGTTCATTCTCTGGTACACTGGTCTTTATAGTTTCTGTAGATTTTTACCAAATCCACAAGGTGTCTGCAGATACGTCTTTAGGTAAACAGCATACTCTATACCCTGGGCAACTCATCATATGAAAATATGGTGTCTGGGGGCCAGCACCCACATGGGAGACCAGGAAGAAGCATCTGGCTCCTGGCTTCAGATCATCCCAGCTCTGGCCATTGCTACTATTTGGGGAGTGAACCAGCGGATGGAAGACCCCCCCACCCTGCCCCGTCTCTGCCTCTCTGTGACTCTGCCTTTCAAATAAATAAATAAATAAATCTTAAAACAATAAAAGAAAATATGGTGGCTTCCAGTGACAGTTCCTTGCTGCTTCCCCAAATTGTGAATCTTCTCTAAATATTTCATTTACTTTTAGAAAATGCAGAGATGTTGTTAAACAGAACTCAATTCCTTTAAAAGTTTAGAATCTGTGACTTGTCAGCAGAACAAATAGACATGGCTCTGATGGGCCCTGCATATGAAATCACTAGCAGGATAATCCTACAGGATGTCAACTTCTATGCTTCAATGACAAAGTGCTTCAATAATAGTTTTCTACAGAGGTATATTTTACAATCCAATGAGCTAACAAATTCTAACCCACTGAGCTTAAAACAAGGCGAAATAAAATAAAACATAAAATGTTCTTGTTCTGCAGAACTGGTCATGGACATTTCTCATGGCATTTTTTTTAAGTATTGAATTTCAAATGCTTCTTCTCATGTGGTAGGTAAAAATAATTCATATTAAAGCATATTTTTAAGCATATTCATTAACAGTTGTGTATTATTAAAAGGCTGTCGAATTTATTTTTCCCCTCATGGTCTGAAAAGATTTTATTTAAAGCCTTAAGCAGGATAAATTGATGTTCAGTTCATCCTTTCTGCTGTCTTCACTTGTTTATTAATTAACATAATCTTTTAACGTTTAGCAAAATAAAGCCTGCTGAATGCTGGGGAGACACATTTAGAAAAGAAACATGAAATCTGGTGAATCCTACCTCCTAGCCATCCTTTTCTGTTTATTAGCTTTAATCCAGGGCAGTTTGGCTGTAAACACATCATCACTTATATTTATGTGTAATGCCTCCTCATTAGCATCAAGAGAGGGATGGAGGGTATGGATGATTAATCTGTCTGTCCTAAATTATGGTGCTCTAGGGTAACATAGAAAGTGAGACATTTGGGGAAATATCAGAGCAAAATCATTTAATACTTGGACACTGTGGCAGAGACAGCAAACTGTGACAAGACACAAGTTGTCCACATAAACAATAAATACATGGTTCCTCCCACTCCCCATATCTGCATTTTCTGTGGTGTCAGTTATCCATGTTCAACAGCAGTCTAAAGCATTGGATATAAAACTCCAGAAATAGACAAAACCTACCTTTAAA